TCACCCCTCAGCGGGTCAGAGCAATGATGGCATTGCCCTGTCACCCCTCACCCCTCAGCGGGTCAGAGCAATGGCGGCACTGCCCTGTCACCCCTCAGTGGGTCAGAGCAATGGCGGCACTGCCCCATCATCCCTCAGTGGATCAGAGCAATGGCGGCACTGCCCCATCACCCCTTAGTGGAGCAGAGCAGGGCTGAGCCCCTCACAGCAGGGCAGAACATGGGTTTGGCAGGTGCCCCCCAATGTTGGGGAAGACCAGGGTGCCCCCACACAGAGGAAGAGTCCAGAAGAGTCCTCAAACGGGGCAGTGGGAGACCCATCCATCTTCCTCCTCATCCCTCTCTTACCCCTGCAGTGGCTGGCGGCGGGGTGCTCACCCACCAGCAGGATGCTGACTACCTCTTCAGCAGTGATGCTGCCCACCCGGACACCCGCAGGTTGGCTGTGACCCCCATGTCACCCCCCATGCCAGCAGCACCCTCCATCTGCTTGCACAGATGCCCATGGCCCCGTTTCACGGTCATGATGAGCCCTCTCCATGTGATGTCTGTGGAGAATGAAAGATCAATGAAGGTTTTAATGTATTTAAAGTATTTAATGGATGCTGACATCCTTTAAAAGTGCCTGGTACACGTCTGCCGGGGTTTTACAGCTTAGGGGAGTCTGAGAACTCACACCCATGCTAAACCATAGCTAGACAAAACAGAAAATGTCTGCAGAAACCATCCACGTGTTAGGCTGGCTTAACTCCGATGTAAATTAAACTAATTGTGCTGGTTTCCTGGCTACCTTTGAATTGACCTACTGGAAAATTCAAGGTCTAAAATAGAGGCGACACCATCCCCAAGGAAGGAACCAGGTACTAAAAAGCCAGTGTGAGCTAACTTCGAAAGCAAGCGTGGCGGTAAAACTGGCTGGAAAAGGGCTGAATTGCTATTTTCCTTCTGCTTGCTTAATATAAAAAAAAAAAACCAGAGCGCTCAAGAACATTTGTACAAATATGAGGAAAGGCTAACCAGGGTCTTCCTCCAGTTAGTGACTATTTATGGATATTCAATATCATGTAAATATATTGATGTGAAAGGGAATGGCAATGTTTTCTCGCGGTGCTCTGCAGCAGGCTTGGCTAGGCTGGACTAAGCGGCTTCTTTTAACACATGATTGCTTAAAACTGGCTTAGATTTTTGAAATCCTTCAGCCACCTGCACCAGCTTCGGGAGGGAAATCCCGAGAAACCAGAGTAACAACCTTCCTTCCGTCACAGCATCCTGCCGGACTGGGTTGTTTCCCCGCACGAATATATATATAGTTATATCTATTCAATGTATATATTCTGATTACTTACTTGAAAAATTTAATCATTATCCATACCCTTAAACCTGACAAACAATATTTAATTCCTCTCTAAGGAGCACGGTGAGTGCTTGAGCATCCTCCACCCACCCTTCCTCGCTCAGGGATTGTGCCGTGAGCCTGAGCAGGGCCAGTGGGGTTAAGAAGAAATAAATAAAAATCACTTTTTTCCCCCCTCTCTGAAGAACCACTCTCATCTCAAGAGCAGGTTTTGGAGTGGTGCCATTTAGTCCCTAAAAATACGCGTTTACCTGGTTCCCGGTGTCCTTCCTCCAGGCTGCTTTCAGGAGGTGCCAGCAGCCAGGACTGTAACAGGACATTGCTGGTAGAGTGTCATAGTTAGAAAATTACAGAAAATTAGGTGCTTTTGGCAAAAATGTTGGAGCAGGTCAGTTTTAATGACAATATCCCTTCAAACTTTTTGTGGTTTGGGTTTTTTTCAGGCTTACCTTTGGAATCCAGCTGTCTTTTTCTCTTCCAGAATACACGAGAGCCTCGATTACTTGGAGGGCAGAGCTACAGTCTTTCACTCCCGTTACCTCTCTGTGTGGGGGAGCACCGACGTGGGAGCAAAGCCATCGGTGGTTCTGGGCCACTTTGTCCTGCCACCTGCCTGCCTGCAAGAAGGTTGAGGGGGAGAAAAAAAAAAATAAAAATCAGGGTTTGGATCCCCTGGGGGTTCCCCTGTGACCAAAGTATTTTGGGGGTGCAAAGAAGAACCTCCAGGTACTTCTGCTCTAGGTGGAGGGAATTTCCTTCTACTGGGAGTGATTCTTCTTCCCTGGAGGCTGAGGATGCTCTATCTATATTTTCCACCTATAATATTCTCCATCTATTATCATAGAATCACAGAATGGTTTGGGTTGGAAGGGACCTTGTAGACCATCTAGTTCCACCCCCCTGCCATGGGCAGGGACACCCTCCACTAGCCCAGGTTGCCCAAAGCCCCATCCAACCTGGCCTTGAACACT